TTATTATTATTATTGTTAATATAATCCTCATTATTACATTATCATTGTTATTGTCAGTGTTATTATTATTATCATCTCTGTTATTATCATTATCATTGTTATCATTATCATTACTTTTGTCATCATCATTATTATTGCTTTTATTATTATCATTATCATTTTCATAATCGTTATCATTGTTATCATTATCATCAGTATTATACATGTATACGCCCTTAGTAGCACACACACATACACAAACACACACACACACACCACACACACACACACACACACACACACACACACACACACACACACACACACACACACACACACACACACACACACACACACACACACGCCCACAAACCTCCTCCACTTTGCACCCTCTCTTAAACTCTCCCGCCCACGCCCGCAGATACCAAGATGCGGCTGAGGGCGTTGTTTGTCCTTTCCCTGGCGCTGGTGGTTCTGACGGCGTCGTCACCTCTTCCGAAAGAACATGAAGTCATCGACGGCAGAAGTGAGTGTGTCATGTCATGTTTCTTGAAGGTGAAATGGGAGGGCGAGAGGGTGGGCCCGTATTTTGGACGGTGTATTTAGCATCTTTAAAGTCAGATCATTACCAATATCAGTTGACAGATTATGAAATATCCAATTTACGTGTGTATATGACGATACGTTTTGCTATTTCGAACAAAACTAGTAAGCAAACACTGCTGTGAATGTAAATATCTCCCTCACACCAAAAATAAAAGAGTTTTGCATATTCGCAAAGACGTAGCTCTGAAGTATCCCATTTTCTTTTTATTATTCCCTAAAGAAAACGTAGAGTACAAAAACTACATTTCTGCGGTGAAAGTTTTAGTGATGCTATCAGTGTGGAGAATAATCTTGATATTTACTACTACTACTACTACTACAACTACTACTACTACTACTACTACTACTACTACTACTACTACTACTACTACTACTACTACTACTACTACTACTACTACTACTACTACTGATTTTGCTACTACTACCACCACTACTATTGCTACAACTACTACTATTACTGCAAGTTGTAGCTAATGCTTCTACCCCTAATATTAGTTTAATCATTTCACTTTTCCCTACCATCTCAAATCTCTTCTTGTTCCTTTACACCTCTTTTTCCATTCTCTCACGTCCATCATAATTATTATCTCCTTTTCCTTTCCTTCTTTCCCTCCCTTCCTCCTTTTTTTCTACGTTTCTTACGCCCTCTCTTCTCTTCTCCCTACGTTCTTTCCCCCCTCCCTCCCTCCTCCTCCACTTCTCTCCCTCACCCTTCCTCCTTCCTCCACCAACCCCTCCTTCCTCCTTCCCTCTCTCCTCCTCTCCTTCCTCATCACCCTTCCATCCCTCTCCTTTCCTCCACCCCCACTTCCCTCCCTCCTCTCCTTCCTCATCACCCCCACTTCCCTTCCTCCTACTCTCCTTCCCCCATCACCCTTCCTTCCTCCCCTTTCCCCAGAAACCACCATCGCCCTGGCCGTCGCGCACCAGCTGATCGGCCTCATCCCCAACGAAACCGTCCAGGAGCTTTTGAACACCATCCTCGCGGCCCTGAACCAAGAGGAATTCGACTACTGGGGTCAGGTCAAGGACGAGGTCATAGCGCTGGTCGGGGACTACATCAACGCCCACAACATGCATCAGTCGAAGTCTACCAGAAGGATTTGCAAACGCTGATGGATAGGTGAGAAAGGGGGGGGAGGGATGGGAGGGAGAGGGGAAGGGGGAGGGAGGGATGGGAGGAGGAGGGGGAGGGAGGGGTGGGGGGATGGGGAGAGGGAGGTGGGGGATGGGAGAGGGAGGTGGGGGGGGGGAGGGGAGGGAGGGGTGGGGGGATGGGGAGAGGGAAGTGGAGGGATGGGGAGAGGGAGGTTGGGATGGGATAGGGTGGAGAAAAGGGGGAGAAGCGGGGAAAGGGAGTAAAATGTTTAGGTGATATAGGTATAGAGGAAGCGGATGAAGGTAGAGAAAGAGAGAGAGAGAGTTGGTAAATACAATATGATTGTTTTAAGGCAAAGTTTTCCTTTCTTCCTAAAATCCTTTTGTTTTTCGTCTTCTCCCTCTCTTTTCTTGCCAAAAAGTCTCATAATACAACCTCTGCCATATATAGAATATTATCTTCCTAATCATATGATGATCAATCACCAATATCAGTTGACACATTATCAAATACCTCAAAATTTTATGAATGTATATGAAGATACAGTATGATATTCTAAAACAAAACTTTTAAGCAAATATCGCTGTAATTGTAGATATTTTCTCACACCCAAAATATATGAGTTATGCATATTCGCAAAGACGTAGCTCTTAAACCCCAGTTTCTTTTTATTATTCCCCAAAGAAAACGTAGAATACATATACTACATAAGTGCGATGAAAATTTTACGGCTTAATGGGCACTTCGAGCTGCCTCTTTCCACACATTTTAGCTTCAGTAAGTACGGAGCTACTGATTGATATCTCAAACCAGGTC